ACCTGCAATCTCTTGATCCGTAGTCAAGCGCCTTACCATTGGGCCAGCAGGCCTTCTTGAAGGTTTTGCAAAGTAATATGCCTTATTACAAAAGATAAAAATGGGCTCTGGTACTGGGAACATCCACATAGTTTAGCCTCTTCCACCATATGCTTACGCCAAGTCATTGTTACTGCAGCATAAGTACCTCTCTAGTGTGGCTCTTATGCAGGAGGAACCATACAAGATTTTTGAACGGTGAATGTATTTGTTCTGCCTTGAGGTATGACATCATTTGTTGTTGGAGACGGTCTCGATTACTAGCTGACTATCTCGACCTCATGGGAGGATTATGACACCCTTGGTTCCTGGATCTTATCTTGGCTGGAATGACACAGAAATAGCGCAAATCATTAATGTTTCTGGGCCTGGCGTTGTTGGTACCTCGCGTGGGAAATGCATGACTCAGCGTGTCTCCCCAGATCGCTTACATCATCATCTCAGTCCAAGTTCTGGACCTGGACTGCTCACTCAAATCATCAACCCATTGCAAAATCTGGTCACTTCTGCTCTGTGCCTTGCCTTGCTATTGTACACTGGGAGACGTGTTTGAGATTGATAATTCGCCTGTTGGGAAGTACATGAGCTGCTGTTTGGAAGGCATTATTCCTCCCCAATCCGGCCGCGCGTGACCCAATATTTCCCTCCGCACTTTGAGCTCTGGAGACCATTGAGCAGCATAGAGATTGGATTATCAATCGACCTGCCTACTACAATAAGTCTCGATCCGAATCGTTACAAAAAATACATCTCTCCTCAAACTGCGCGAGGATCGTGCCCTGTGAGGATGAGAGAGACTGAACAGAACTCGCTGAATAGGCGTCATTCCACCACGCAGCACTATCAAACCTTCGACACTCCTCCTCCAAAATCGCGTGGAAGACCGAACTCAGGCCAATCCGAATCGTCAGGCGGCGACTCGAATCTGCAACAACATGGATCCGGAAGCGACGAGGAATCACGATCTCCCTTGCCGAAGAAGCAGATGGCAGTGTTGGCGATGATCGCGCTTTGTGAGCAGACGGCACTCAATTCGATCAGCCCTTATCTGCCTGATATGGCGGCGTCGTTTCCCGGAGTCGACCCGCAGTCGGTGGGTATCTATGTCGGAACGATCGCCTCGGCGTTTGCGATAGCGCAGTTCATAACCAACTACTTCTGGGGTTGGCTGTCTGATCGCGTGGGACGGAAGCCGGTCATATTGCTTGGGACCATCCTCACTGCAGTTTGCATGCTAGCGTTTGGGTTCTGTAAGATGTTATGGCAGGCCATACTGGTGCAGGCGTTGATGGGCGCTGTCAATGGCAACCAGGGATTGGTGTCAACGTGCCTCGGAGAGATTACCGACAGAAGCAACCAGTCGAAAGCTTTCACTTATCTCCCTGTCCTCTACGGTATCGGTGGTATCACCGGACCTCTTATTGGCGGCTTACTGGTCTTCCCCCGAAATCCTTTGGACAAGAACAAATCCAATCCATATCCTTATGCCGGACCGAACCTCGTGTGTGCGGGAATTCTTGTGGCGGATTTCATTTTGACGAGCCTTTTCCTCGAAGAGAGTCTCGAGGATGCGGAAGTTTTGCCTACATTCAAACGCAGAATTCGTGCAATCTTTGTCTGGTTGTGGGAATGGACTAGTCAAGCACGGCGGGCAAAACAGGCGTACCCTCCCCATGAATATCATTCCGTGCAACAGCATGTATCTGAGCAAGATCATGATAGCGAACTTGACTCCGCCTCGGAAGTGTCCAGTCGCCAAGGCGTCACACATGAGTCCCTGCTCAAAAGCGAGATCTGGAATCGGGACACTGTTTTGCTTCTGCTGACGTATCTCATCTTCGCCCTGGGCAATGTGTCTTTCAACTCGCTCTTCCCTATCTTTTCGCATGCTCCACCTCCTACGGGACGAGCCCTTACTCCGAGCGAAATTGGTCTCTCGCAAGGTTTTGCCGGCCTGGCCACTATCCTCTTTCAAGTCTGCATCTTCGGCAGACTGCGAGATAAGATGGGCAACCGGTGGTCATATCGGGCAGGCCTCTTCGGCTTCGTCCTATCATTCATGCTCATGCCTTTCGTCGGATACAAAGGAGACGATGCTGACGGACGGCTGACCAAAAAGACCGCCTTTATGGCTATTGAACTGTGCTTCGTGCTCTTGGTTAAGACGGTATCTGCGGTTGGCGGATTGACTAGTGCGCTTTTACTGGTAAGATCATCCTCTTACTGACTGAGATTTGAGAATGCACTAACTTTGTTGTTCAGATTACGAACTCTGCTCCGGATCACGCGGTCCTGGGAGCACTCAATGGTCTTGCGCAAACTCTTGCCGCGGCAGGTCGAGCAGCCGGTCCGTTCCTATCTGGTGGTCTTTTCTCCCTGGCCTCCCGCATTCAACCAAAGGGAGAACTGCTGGCTTTCGGTGTCTTTGGTGCCGTTTCTTTTGTCGGTTTTGTCTTGAGTTTCGGCATCAAGGGACGCTCTCTAGAGGCGCAGGATTGGGAAAGCGACGACGACGATATTTATAAATCGGATGATGAGCATCCCTCAACTCCGTGATTGCACCCCCGGACAACCTCAGGTCGGGTATCACCCGGTCGTTATGAATTGATGATCATGTATAGTGTCTCTGAGCCTCGAGTCCGGTGTTTTCTCTTGTTATTCCTTTTCCGTTAGACTGCCTTGCATCTGTTGTGCGAGCGCTTGTTCATATGTATATATTGGTGACAGCAACGATAGATTTATGGTCCCTTCTGGGTCTGGGGACATCTAAACTTTCATATCATTGGCACGTCTTGTTCGTGTAGGTGGGCTTAGATATCTCCATGAGATTAATCGAGAGATCTACGCAGGGGGGTTCACTCTTGTAAATTCGATCACATGGATAATGTGAACCCAGATGGCTCCTTGGTACACCACATGTCTAATCATCGAAGATATCCAATTGTATTTTATCCACTTCGTATTCTCGACAACTCCTAGAGACAAAGGAAAGGAAAAGATTCGTTCGTGTATTCATATTCCTCACTTCCACTCCCACTCAATGACGTACATGAACGCTTCCTCCAGGTATCCCGACAGAAGCAAACCCTGAGCATACTCGATCAGCTCACTATCCGGCAACGAGAGAGACCGAAAATGTTCCTTTTCGCCGTTCGAGGCCCGCACGCTGATTCGCTTCTGGATGGCTGATTTGAACATTTCCTTGCCTGGGCTGACGAGGACGTACTTTGCGGGTGTATTGGGGGACTCTGGGGGGACGTAGCAGATGGCTTCTTGGCGTTGGGGGGTTAGCCATTGGATTTCTCGGGCGGTGGTGCTGGGGGTTGTTGGGGGTGAAGAGCTTGTGTTCACGGGTCCGGACGATGACGGTGACGGTGACGAGCTGCTGTCGATGGTTGCGAACTGGATGTCTGAGTCTAGAGAGAAGATGATGAGGGTGTTTGTGAGGGAGCTGAGCTTCATCCGGAAGGTGGTGAAGTTGCGCGGGTCGAAGTAGAAGGTGTAGCTGGCGAGTACGTCTACGGTCCTGTTCTTGTCGAGGGGGCGGATTTTTGAGAGAGCCTGGTCCCGTACCCAGGGTGGGCAGCGTGGTTTGACGGCGAGGGATTTGGACTCGCGGAGGGACACGGAGGGGATGCAGTAGGGGAGGTGTGATTGCAGGCTGGCTTTGTGGCATGGTTCGCTGCAAAAGCGGAAGATTTTGCATGCTGGGAGGCTGGTCAGCTTGTGCTGTGAGTCTGAGGGAAGATTGTCAGGGAGAGGACTCACAGTTGCAGAGGATCTTGGTGGATGTTCCGCAGTTCTCACATTTCCCGGGCTCGTGCAATCCCCATTCTTTTCTCTCTGTAGCCAGAACTTCTCGCCGGCGGTTGAGTTCAACAATTCTCTTCTGTGCATAGCTGATCCGTTTCCGCGAATGGTGCTCGTCGGGAGTGGCACTTGCCATTTGAACGAGCTGGTGATAGGCGAGGATGGCTTTATCCACGGAGTCGAGGTGCTCGCGTGACACGCAGAGCGCACTGAGCGCATCAAACGTCTCAGGAGCCTCTGGTCCTCTTACGACTAGGAGGTCCTCGAACAAGGTCTCGAAGAGATCAGCGGCGTCTCGGTTCAGTCCTGCATCCATGTACGATCGGCCTAATCGATGGATAACCCGAAGGGCCTCGGGGTCGCTAGAGTTGCGGTATTGCTCGAGTACGTCCAGGATTTCTGGGGGAAAGTCAAAATTGTCAGAGCCTTGGATGTACCGGACAACAGCATCTCTCGTGATAGCACTCGCAACGCCGAAGATCGTCTTGCAATGTGGGATGGTTTTGCCACATATCATACGAGATTCTTTGACTAGGCCGAGCTTCTGATACAGAAGAGATAGCTTGTTCATCGCGCTGAGGGTCGTTTCGTTCTGGAGTCCAAACACCGTGTCCAGAGCAGGAACCGCCCTCTCCAATAAGAGGAGCGCGGATTCTAGATCACCCAAGGAGACCTTGAGAGACGCGAGGTCTTGCATGCTACTCAATGTTTCCGGTGCGTGCTGTCCCAGAGTCTTCAACCTGCCTGCGAATGAGCGCTCGTATAGTGCAGCTGCTTCGGTGGCGTATCCGTCCTTCTCACAAAGTGCGCCTAGATCGTGCAGGACTGCAAAGTTGGTCGGGTGGTCGCGCCCAAAGGATCGTTTGTAGAGCCCCAGTGCCTCCAAGTAGCAGGCTTCCGATTCTGCGGCCATGTCCAGACTGCGGTATGCATGACCCATCGAATGTAAAATGGACGCGCGAGACAATCTCTCGGTGTCCAATGCTGGCTCACTGTCCAGAGTCCGCAGTGCATCATGAAACTCCACAACCGCTGCTTTCGAATTGCCCTGCTTGAGGGCTGCATCGGCCCGCATACGCGTTATCAGAGCTTTGGAATAGACTGTCGAGGCGGAGAGCTCATTCTTCAGCTGGAGAAAGAGCTGAGCCACCTCATCCATCTGAAGCACTCTTTGACGGCCAGAGGCGTCATGAACCATTGCGCCTCCAGAGAGGTGTTGAATATGAATGAAAATGTTCTGGCAGTTTCGTAACAACGTCATATACTCGGCTTCGGACACAGCTGTTCGGATTCCATCCGCTCCGCGTTGTGTCTTGGCTGTGGTTTTCATGGCACTTGAGCTTCCTTCGCTTTCTAAGCTTGTATCACTTTCGTTCTTGGAGCCCCTTTGCGTGAAAGAGAGCCTCACGGTATTGACTCTTTTCAGCAATTTCCTCCCTCGGTTAGAGGCAGATTTTGCCCGTGACAGACCTGTTCTCCGTCAGCCGGGTTTTTGACCATCATGATACTCATCAAGCAAACCTTTCGGAATGGTACGACCAAATATCCTTTGCAGAAAAGATTGCCTTCGAGATGACGATGGTGGTGTCCCCTGTGTTTGATCTTCAACCAGATTTCCCTGCGAATCAACATAATCGCTTTTGTAATGCTCGTTTTCCTCCTCACAAAGGGCCATGCCCGATGTCTTTGAGCCAATTATATGGACATCATTTGGCGCTGGCAGTAATTATCAGCTGTTCACTCTCATACACTTTTATTCTAATAGAGACAGGGCCAAGCATACTTTCATAAGGACAGTCCCTCTGTGACTGCGTGGACTGCCATTCGGCAGCACCTCCGAACTGTTGGAATATACCATTGGGGGCATGCACTGCATCTCACGTTAAACTCGGAGCGTTAGAAAAAAGGGTTGGCCTACCTCTCTCCAGGTCATACAGTCCTGCAAAACTAATCGCAATGAGCTCATCTTCATCATTTTGCGAGATTTCTGCCGGGAATTAGACATGTCTCTCATCAGTGGAATTGTGGAGCTTACTTCTGAATGACCAGGAATCCCGCAACTTCCTGGCCCTCTGAGAAAACGATTGCTCCCCGGCGGTATTAGTTGCAATATGGAATTTAGAGCCGGTAAAGCTCATCTGCGCGATGCTGGGGCTTCTGCTGTGCGCTCCATTCGCCCTGTCCTTTTGGATATCTCGAAGACTGATATCGTCTCTGGGGTCATTCAGAACAGGCTCATATCTACATTAGTCATGTAAGACTTGCTGGACGACAATAGATCAGTATCAGACTGGCACTGACGAGATGTTACACTCCTCCCCGCAGTTTTTGCAACTGATTAATGACGGCATGTCTGCAAGTATATATGAGAGGATGTTCATAGGCAACTACGGCGGACCGTCTCACCTCGTTGTCGATCCACTATTTCATCCTTGTCACCCATGGTAAATTGCTTCTCGCAATGCTCGCAGAAAAAACGGAGCGGACGAGAATTCAGAGGCAAAAACCGCTTTTCCATCCGGTAGCCCTTGGTGATAAGACTATAAGAGACCACTCAGCCTGAATCGACCGTACCCTGAAGTCAAGCATACCGATCTCGCATCATCAAATAGATTGCCACAGCTGCCCCAGGACAGAACCTCGTCAAGTAGTGTTGTTTCAATTCACACCTGTATTTATCGTCAAATTATGCGTTGAAGAAGCAGGACAAATCAGCGGCCGTACGGTGAGGAGAAGACAGCATCGCAATCCGGGCATTTGGAGTCCGCAGCACCATTGGGACCCCCATCGTCATTTCTGAGAGGCGGGAACAGACGTACAGTTTCTGCAAAACTTTCAATGCCTGGAGAATCTTCGACGGTTTCTATAGATTCGCATCGCAGTACGTTAGATTTATCAAGTGACAGATCATACACAGGAGCGGAATTCGACGAACCATTCTCTGTCTTGCCAGCCAACGACAGTAAGACGTCCGACGCTCGAAGAACCCGTGTCCGCGCTCCAAGTGCCACAGAGGCATTGTGAGAAGAACGGCTTAGGACGATTTGGTTCTCAAAGTTCCGCTTCGCCTCTGCCTGCAGCGGACTGCGGCTGTCGATCCCATCTCTAGCCATCAATTATGAGTTCTCAGTGGGATATCCTAATCGGGGAGCAAATGCAGACCCTGAGAATGTTCTTACCGTTCCACCATCGGACTTGTATAATGATCGTAATCCATAATCGAGCTTCAGATAGGATGAAGAGAGGACAAAGGCAGAGTTAAGAAGCAACCCGGATGTCAATGACACAAACCCAAATGCAGTCTGGACGAAGATCAAAGAAAGAAAGAAGCCATGCATCGGAATGCATCAATGAGCCGGGTGAGGCATCATTTTCAATAATCGGCAGGTCATGGTCCAGGTGCGTGTGCCCTGCGGGTCATCTTGATGAAATCGGTTCTCCATGGGGATGAGAGAGGTAAACGGGTCGCATACTTTCTGGTTTCAAAAGGGAGGAGTTCGCAGCGTCAGTGCTTGTTATCCCTCGCATGATCCTAGCGGGACGCTTCCTTGGGATTTTGAAAGTCCGTTTGTGAAGGATGGAAGCCGAATAGGGTCTGTAATCTGATTCAAAGGCCAATCAATTGATAGATTAGAGGGTGGTCGGCGTCTGCAGGGCTTGTTGTCTCGGGCAATCCCGTTGGATGTGTATACTCTACAGAAATGTCGTGTGTTAGAGAGTCGCGATTTTCGCGTCTCTTTTCTCTTTGAATTGGCCGGACATCAACAATCAGGGGGCAGGATATCCTCAACAGCCAATCAGAAACACATTCTTTTTCGATCCTGATTCCTTTTCTGTCAAAGAAATTCATCCCTGGCTCTATACGACGATAAACCGATTGCTCCCTTGCGTCGAACTTTCTACAAGCACCCCAATGCCAGGAATACCTCTCCTCGGCCACGCCATTTTTCCTCACCGCATGAACATGCTCCTGCCTGTGGCTCCCTTCGATTGAAAGCTGGCCTATGACTATTGTCCCCGCATTCACAAGATGAAGTCGTTTCCCACCTGTCATATTTCGATGTGGACGCAGACGATCTACGGAACTCAAACAAAGCCCCAGCAGATGACCCACAATATTAACATAACAGACCGACCCTGAGTACGGAGTAGATAGCCCGCCTCGTACGGATCTACAGAGCTGATTCCAGAGACAATTCGGATCAATAATTCTGGGAATCCATCTGATAGTGGATCCGATAGTTCATGGACTTGGGGTCTTGGGAATATGACCTATCCGCGATGATCCTAAACTGCGTCCACCGCTTCTCCGTCTTTCCAGCAACAGATAAATCCATTCGATGGCCAGTTATCGACCTCTCTGAGAGGGTGTTTGAAGAAAGGAAAGCATTTTCATGAATCTCAATGGGAAAGAGCGTGAAGGAGACGAATGTGCAGTAGTAAGAAGAGAACCCGGCCAAGAATGAGAACACGGGAGAGGACTAATGCGACAGTATAAAGTCAAAACTTTATCCGCTTTGTCTAGACTCTGTGCGCCAGATGCCGAATTGTCTATTCCTCATGGATCCTTCAAACGCCGTCCTGACACAATGTGCCTCTGTCTTGAAGGCGCAATCGGACAATCTCAAAAGCAAACGACTTCTGATTGATCGATGGATCGTTAAGAGCATCCATTGATCCAAGATTCGTTTGCATCCCTGCTTCTGGAGCGGTGTTGCGTAACTCGCGGAACGATATACAGCCGCCAACAACAACACTTCGGCAGCATCAATGCGATACCACAGCGAAACAGTTGATTTGGAAGTAATATCAGTGAATCTATTGGACACTCTCCTGGCTCTGAGAATTCTCGTTGCAGATCATCAGCCCACCCACATGGGGTGGAGTGAGTTCCTTGGTTATCGGACAGAGTCATGAACTCATATGCCCCGCAACAACAGAGCTTGGCTCTCCATCAACGAATACCACCCTTGAAGAAAAACAGGTTCAGCGGGAAGATTTCAACTGAAGAAGTCATGGAAATATCTCCGCATGCGAATTTCCGGTTTTTCCATGGCTGGACAGCCTGGATGGTCATGATCGCTGGATCCAGCCGAGGCTGACACTGACAGGGGTGACGTTAACGTTCCGCCAACGTCACACTTACGTGCGTCACAGCTCTGGACATACCAAAGACCATTTATTACACACCATCGAAGCCAGCAGAGATGTTAAAAGAGATGTTCTTGTCAGGTCGGCGCTGTCGGTTCTTCACAGAGCTTTACTTAAATCTGAAATTACCTTGAGCATCAATCCCGAGAATCAACATGGCCACGAAGATTGCTGGAGGCTTGCACAAAGCGCAGGAAGTGCTGCAAAACACATCCTCCCAAAGCAAGAAATTGATCGACTTGGAAAGAGATACTGCCGATGCTCATACCCAGCAGCCACTGACCACGGATCACGGTGTGCGAGTCAGCAACACCGATCAATGGCTTAGAGTTACGAATGACCGCCGGACTGGCTCATCCTTGCTGGAGGATCAGATCGCCAGAGAAAAGGTAAACATACTGCATGTACAAATCTTCAATCAAGATGGTATTAATGATATCCACAGATCCATCGCTTTGATCACGAACGTATTCCTGAAAGAGTAGTCCATGCGCGTGGCACTGGTGCATTCGGGAACTTCAAGCTTAAGGAGAGCATTGAAGATCTGACTTATGCCGGTGTCCTGACGGATACGTCAAGGAACACGCCCGTCTTTGTTCGCTTTTCGACTGTCCAAGGAAGTAGAGGTAGCGCTGATACAGTCCGCGATGTTCGTGGATTTGCTGTCAAGTTCTACACCGATGAAGGCAATTGGGACATTGTTGGAAACAACATCCCTGTGTTTTTCATTCAAGATGCCGTCAAGTTCCCGGATTTCGGTACGTATCGTTCCTGCTGCTGCTTCTGTCAGATCTGACTTTGCTGCCAGTTCATGCTGTCAAGCCAGAGCCACACAACGAGGTTCCTCAGGCACAAACAGCTCACAACAACTTTTGGGACTTTGTGTACTTGCACCCGGAGGCCACCCACATGTTCATGTGGGCCATGTCTGACCGCGCCATCCCCCGATCCTACCGAATGATGCAGGGATTTGGTGTGAACACTTTTGCTCTCGTCAACAAAGAGGGAAAGCGACACTTTGTCAAGTTCCACTGGATCCCCCATCTGGGTGTGCACTCTCTTGTCTGGGACGAAGCCTTGAAGCTGGGAGGCCAAGACCCTGATTTCCATCGCAAAGACCTCATGGAGGCCATCGACAACAAGGCGTACCCGAAGTGGGACTTTGCAATTCAAGTCATT